CATTACAATGCTGGTGTTTCTCAGTGGAGTTATTTAATGTATGTTTTACCACCAGTGACACTTTTTCTAGTTAAATTGCTCTTGCTGTCTATAGATATATTATTGTGTATGCATTGCATCAATGAAATAAAACAAACAAACTTTTTGACCAAATGAAATAAGAAAAGATGCGTGTTATGTAAACATACATCCGCTATATTGTAACTAAAAGAACTCATGGTGTACAACTCATGACTTGTTGACATTGCAAAGCAGGACACCAAACTAAGCTGCATTCAGCACAGAGATGCTACTGATAGCACATTTCTATTTTTAAAGACAAAATTTTTATATAGTTTACACAGCTTATATATCCGCTATATTGTAACTAAAAGAACTCATGGTGTACAACTCATGACTTGTTGACATTGCAAAGCAGGACACCAAACTAAGCTGCATTCAGCACAGAGATGCTACTGATAGCACATTTCTGTTTTTAAAGACAAAATTTTTATATAGTTTACACAGCTTATATATCCGCTATATTGTAACTAAAAAAACTTGTGGTGTACAACTCATGACTTGTTGACATTGCAAAGCAGGACACCAAACTAAGCTGCATTCAGCACAGAGATGCTACTGATAGCACATTTCTGTTTTTAAAGACAAAATTTTTATATAATTTACACAGCTTATTAAAATTGGCGTTGAAGTCATACAAAATTAACATTACATGCATATATATATATATATATATTAATGAAAATCTTGAAGATTTTACAGTTGTACAGGAAAATGGTATTTTAAATGAATATCAGTGTAATGTTCAATATGAAAGTGTTGCTTATAAAGAGAAATATTGAGCCAAAAATTATTTCTCTTGGGTTTTTTACAGTTGCAGCAAATATATATGCTTATAGTTTTACTATTAGAATATTTATCATTATAGAAGTTCTTGTTGGCACATGTTCAAGTTATTTTGGTGGAAACTGTTAGGCTTTATTGTATCATAAACAACTATGCCAATAGAAAGTTGTGGTTGTATTGGCAGACCTTTTTTGTATGACGTGTAGTTCAAGAGGTAAGATGAATTTTATTGTATTTGATCTAAACTTATGTCATACTTAAACTGTAACTTAGAAATTGATTTCAAATTCCCCTGTTTCTTATTTATTGCTTGCTAATATTTATACAATCTATCCATTATTTGTATAATAATGGAACTCGGAAAACGGGAAATGGTATTTCAAAAAGAAACTTGAGCATTGGAAGATTTTCACATCTGCATGTAGGACTATGCACACTTGTGATAACGTAAAAGAAGTTGTTTTCACTAACAGTTTTTGTGTTGTTGACTAATTCCTGTTGTGAACTATCTCAAATATCTGTGTTTATTTTGAAAACAGAATGTTTTATAGAAATCAGTTAACACCAATTTTCACATTCCAGTTTATCTTAAGTAATGTTTATTACATTTCTAGCATGTCCATACATCTAATATTAGGTTTGGATTGTAGTTGTTATAACTGTATTCTATATATAAACAGTTAAGAAAAGCAGAGCTGGAGGAGGAGGCAAAGCTCCGAGCTAAGTATCCACAGGCAATGCGGCCAGGTGGTTCAGCATTCTTGCAGAAAAGACTTCATAAAGGAGTAAGTTTCTTTTTTATTCATTTGTACTTTATTAGGTAAGATTATGGGATAGTACAATCTGTTAAATATAGTTGTTTATTAAGTTTTATAGTTTTACTGACATATTTTAGTTCATATGGATGTAGTTATTATGATAATGAAAAAAAAGCTGAAATTACAAGAAGACCAAAAAAATGTAACTATACAGTATGTAGGTTTTGCACTACAGCACTAAATGAAAGTTTAGTGTCTAGTAATTTAATATACATATTTTTTATCATTATTTATTAAAGCACTGTACTTCTCACGTGCTGTAGTTAACTCTTTTGCAACAGTTTCCTGCAATGTGCAGGAACCCGACTGGGGAATATTACGTGTGTAACAACACATATGGTATATCTGAGATTTCTTAATGTATCCTCATAAAAACTGGTAAGATGTTGTTAAAGATTATATAGAATGACATTATTTTAATTAAGTCTTTCTACTAAAAATATGTTATGTATTTATTGTAGTTATTTTCACTCAGACTCTGTATAGTTCGAGTGCAAGGTGATTTGTATTTTAAGTATAAAAATACTTTTCTTCATCTAACAGTTTTTTGAGTTTTATTTGCATAACCTCTAGAACCTAAATGAATATCAAAAGTTTTTTCAAGGTTAATTTTTTTAATTTTATTTTTCTTTTCCTCTCCATATCAATAACTGTACAATATATCATCAATATACAGTGCAATGAAATGTTTATTATTAAGAAAGAGAAAAATGTTTAAATTTTTTTTCACAGAATATCTTAAAAGATCTGCATTTGGTGATATTTCTAATTTCAGGTTTTTTCCTTTTCACATGTACTTAATTTTTAATGTTTTATTTTCCTTTCCTGTCTTTTACCATTTATTATTCATCTCGACACAAGACAACAATGCCCTTAGGGTGTAGTACAGTATCTTCAGGAGACAGATGCAAGCCTATGGCAAAATTATCTTGCACTCTTGCAAGATTGTAAGCCTTGAGAACTGAGGCAGTGTTTGAGATAAATTTAAGAAAAATGTTTAAACCTTTCAATTATGTATTTTAAAACATAAGTAATACATAATTAACTAAGATATGAAAGTAAAACCTAAATGCAATTTTACTTTCTATCCAACTATAACATATCTAGGTAAGAAACAACTATAAATGCTATTGTGGACAAAGCAGCCAACAATACTACTGGCAGTTACACCTACCCAATGATGAAAACTGAGCACCAATTTCAAAATAACTATTGTTGGATAATAATGTAAAATGAGCTCTTTTTAATGACTACATACATGTGTGTCAAGTAACTACATGTGACTTGTAAAGCTCCAGGAATAGTAGAGAAGGTGGGCATGGCACCTGTCAGGGGTTGGAAAATTTTTTCTCTAGTTTGAACAGAACTCAGCTAAAGAACTTTGGAACATATGTGTCAATAGGGCAAGTAAATGTACTTATTGTCTAGACATACATTTACCAGACTGGGGTTATCTAATTCAACGTAGAGAGTGTGAAAGTTGAGATTTTCTATAGCTCATGGGTCAGGTGACAACAAAACTGAAGTATTTTTTTAAAGGTTTATTTTGAAACAAAGGAACTAAAACTTAGATAACACAAAACTTTGAATTATAACATACATAAAATGTTGATTTCATTGACATACATTCGTAATAAAGTTATTTGATTAAATTTTGAATGTAACTTAATGACTTTGTGTAAAAAGGGATTTAAAGGGGTACCTGTTGTAAAAGGGTTAATTTGTTATGTCTCATTATTCAGGCAGTACTTATTGTGTGTCATGATTTTATGTCCATAAGTGTCACTAATTTTTAGAATAGGAGGGGGATTAGAAGGAATTAAATTAAGAGTTTACCTGATTGGTGTTGTATTGTTGACTTAGCTATTCCATTTCGATGAAGATGTTTTGTAGTTATTTTATGAATCCCTGTAACTCTCTCTGGAGATATTATTTTTATACAAGGTGCTCTACATTCTTATTTTCTTGGAATTGTGCTTATGGCAGCAGTAGCCTTCTGGATAAATCCACCATCACCATGTACTATACTATTATATATGAACATTTCTTTTATGGATATATGTATCTTTAGTATGTGCCTAGAAGAATTGGGTGGTAAGTAGAATTTGGTATTTGTCTAATTGTCAAGCTTATTTATTGATTACAATCAGCTATTTGAATATTCTCACATGGGAATTGGATTGTTGGATTAATTGAAAATAGTAATAATTGGAAACACCAATTTAAATTAGTTGATTATTTTTGTGTTGTGACACTAATTAGTTAAACTAAGTAATCTTGATTTAATCTAATGTCATAATATTTTGACTACCTGGATAATTTGGAATAATTTAAAGCACTAATTTTGATTAGTTGATTATCTTCATGACAATCAATTTAATTGTAATTTCAATTTAGAGATTAATTTACTTGACACTAATCAACATAATCAGTGCTTACAAGTAACAATTGATAATGGTGCATTGAATGATTATCTTGGAAAAGTATGTTTCTTGAGACCACAAGATATTTTCTGACTCAAAGTACCAATAAAATGTTTTGATGTTTGTGTTTTGCATTTTTCTAGGATTAAATGCAGGTGATTCCACTCGTATATTTTCTGTATTTTTGATATTTTCTTACCTTCCAGCAATGCTTCTTCCTTCTGTATTTTTCTTATAAGGTTACTGGGAATGATGAATCAAGATGCATCAATTTTGTCATAAAAGTTTAAAGTAGCAGGGGAATAAAAAAAGAAAAAAAAATGTTCAGAATGTTATGTAAGCATTTTAGTGGCTAGACATACCTTTACTCTGTAATCATTGTATTATTAAAGAAACAGAGAGCCAAAGTAGAGATTTTTCATAGCTCATTGTTCATGTGACAATACATCTGAAGTTTTAAGTAGTTTTTAAATGTTTGTTTTTTAATAAAGGACTTAAAACTTGGATAAAATAAAACTTATAATCATAACACACACATTATAATATTAAATTCATTTACATGTGTTTAATTTACAGGTGTTTAATTAAATTTTGAATGTAACACAGTGACTTGTGCAGAAAAGCATTTAAAGGGCTCCCATTGCAAAAGGTCAATAGGTTAAAAAAAAGCATTTATAATTGAATACATAAGTTCTTGTCACAATTAGGTCTGAGTTGTTAGTAAAATTTGCTAATCAGATACATTCATCTAATCAGTTATTCTTATAAAAATAACAATAAACATTGATTACTCTTACAAAAACCAAAACTTATTATAACACTAAAAATCAACTTTCCATACATCAAGATGGCCTATTGTGTAGCATTGTACTGAACAACAAACAGATATAATGGAAATATTTCCTTTAGAAGTGCTATTTTTTACTTCATAGAACTAATAGCTATTACCACTTGCCACTATTTCAAAAACTTTTGCGCATGTACCAAGCTTTGAATAAAATACCCACTTATACATGTATTTACTTGTGTGTGTATGGCAGGGGTTTGAAGTGCACATTCATGAAATTTTTATAGAGGTACATTGAAAAGTTAAATAAATAACTTTGTTATCAATATATATCAATAAACTTGACATCAAATTGTAGTTTATAATCAAAAATTTAATATTATACAAGTTGTAGTTTCTTACTATTAAATGGAAATATTTAAATTCTTAATGTTCACTTCTGTGTATCAAGTGACATATCTTCACTCAGAATTGCCTATTTTAGATTTCATTTTTATCCCACATGATCTTCTGAGTTTGGTAGAAATTATGTTGTTAACCCATAGTGTCAACTTATAGCCTCCAAGCTTCTTGCTTTACTGAGGTATAAACAAGAAATTCAAACCCACATGCTAGGCCTTCCATATCACATCCTGCCTATCATAAAATCTCAGTAATTCTTTTAGACATTTACTGTTGGATTATTTAGAACCAATAGAAAGAAAGAATTTTAATTGATACAGTTTCAGTGTGGGTAGCTCATTTATGTGCCAGGTTTTGTGAAACTTTACCTTAGTTTCATTGTTTACCATAATAGGAGCTTTACTTGACCAGCTAAGAGATTATTTTAACATATCTATAGCATCGTTAGAAAGCCACTTAATTTACAATAGTTTTAGGATATTATATTTTTTTGCATGATAATGTTTTGTGTTATAAATTGCATATTTGAAATAATTAAAAATTATTTTATGTACCACAAAGATCATTAAAAAAGCAGGCTTAAGTTTTTTTATATACTTTGTCTTTCTGATGGAAAAAAATTAGCCTAGATGTAAATGCTAACTTTTTATTCCTATGAAAGTAACTGAAATGTAAAAATTAGAAAATTAAATAAACAATTTTTCCATGATGAATGCATGCGAGCTGCATTTCATGATATAATTCAGTACTTTATTTGCACTAAACTTTTACCAGGTAATTTATTGCTTTATTACAAAGAGCAGTAAAACAATGAAATAAAATAAAAACAGATGTAAACTATTACAAGCTTGAGAATGTTTAAGATAAATAATTGTATTTGTCTGCAGTCTTTATAGAAAACAAGTTTATTTTTACTTCACATTTTTTCAACTTTCACTACAGCTAGTATTGGTGTTGAGGAAACCAGAGATAAAGTGTAAAATTTTACCAAAAATGTTTTTGGTATTCAATTAGGAGGTTCTAGGCATTATAAAAATAAAACATTAAACTCTAAGATGAAAAATATATTTTATTCTTAACATCACCTTTACTCAGACTAGTCACAGTCTGAGTCAGACTGACTCAATACATTCACAGATACATCTTTATAAAAAACACTTTATTAAGCATTTTGATTTTTTTTTTACAACATACTTGCAATGTTACCTAAAAGCTTACCAAATTTCATGACAGACTTAATAGATTCAGAAGTATAGTAAACATTGCTATGTATAGCATCATAGAAATGGGGTTGGTGCTATGAACTAGTGCTTTACATAGAGCATTAAGAAATTAAACTTTGATAACATAAAAAT